TCTGTTCTCTCCTCTACACCCCCAGCTTGATATCAAGAGCCCTGCCCAGAACTCCAGCCTCCCCTTCGTCTTCCAAGGATTACGTTTGCCCTTGTTTCCTTCCTGTCTTTTAATTGACTCATTGTGTTTCCTCCCTGAGTGTGACATGAATGGTCCTCCAAGTACTTCTTGATAATATAAAACTTGTTTTTCTCAAAATTTGGCTTTTTTTTACTGCCCAGTATTTTCCATTAATCAGTTTTTGGACTAGAGTTTTATACAATGAATTGCAGTTTTCTGGTGAGATTTATTAAATTGAAGACAAGCAGTCGTTAAGGAAACTCTCAAAATCCTACACCCATCTTTTGTCTGAGAAGTTCATGTACAAAAGATTGGGAGGATTAGAGTTGCTGAGAAGCTGCAGAGAAATCAAACTAAGAAATTATGTAACTTAAGAACTTCAACTGAGGATACTGGAGAAAATAAAACTATTATTTTAGAAATTTGAATTAATATTTTTCAAGCATATCATTGTAAAAGTTTAATAATAGCCTTCTTTTCAGTACAGCTTTCAGATATGCTGTTACTTTCCACTAATGTTCATTACATAGGAAGAACAATAACTTTTCCAGGCCACTTAGGAACTCTTCAGAGTCTGGAGCATCCTGAAGAATAATCATTTCCTGTAAATTTATCTAGTTCATGATCTGCTTAATAGTAATGTACAAAACATCAAAATGTTGTCGGGAAAAGCTTCTTTTCTCTCTTCCAAGATTTTAACGATCTCCAGTTAGAACACAGTTTTCAGCTGACATCATGTCATCCTGTGCAGTGAATCTTCTTTGTTTTTGTTTCATTAATGACAATGATGAGCATTTCATTCATTGTTCGTCTGTCTGCTGAATTCTAGAAAATTCTTATATTTAAAATATTGTTTATTGTGTTGTGCCAAGACAGCATCAACCATTTCCTAAATAAATGAATTTACTCATTCACATTCATAGCTCATTACCTTGGTATAATGATAATTTAGCTGCTTCTTTCTCACTGTTAAAGCATATAACCTTAGTTTGTCATACCTTAGGAAAAGCAAAAATACATTTAATCAAACTTTCCCAATTTCTTATTGTTTAACATGTGTCTATTTTTTATGGGACCCTGAGCTATATTCCAATGATAAACATGCTCAGATGCTTAGAAGTGAACAGAGAGATGCATTTAGTGCAAGGCTTGAGTAGATAGCAGAATCATCATCAAACTAGAAATTTTAGCTAATTTCTGTTTTTTTTATATGTAAACTATTCCATTCAGTGTCTTTTTATTTAATGACCTTTTGCTTTAGACACTGGAAGTAAGTAGCTTTTATTTGCTAAGCTCACTATTGGGTATTCTGAATACATTATTTTGAATATATTTTTCTCAAGAAGCCTTAAAATGAGATTTATCCTTATCCTAGTGGTAAGAAGGCTAAACCTCAGAGTTTAATTTAAGTTAAATTTAATTAATTAAGTCTGACTTTTAGGTGCTGAGGGATATATAAAAATGAGGAAGATATTGTCCTGGCCTTCAGGAGTTTATATTCTAATAAAGAGTTTGAAAGTTAAAGATAAATACATTTACACACACATGCACACACACACACACCCCTATAATGAGAGATATGTGATAAATTACATAAAAGTCATAAAACTAAAGAATGGGGAATCTTATCTTTTCATAAACAGTGTATCTAAAATTTTAGTTCAGTAAACTGGATTACCTGAGCGTTCTCAGCCAAAGATATGTGCAGTACACACCATGTTCACATGTGTTTTAAAAACTAAACTAAGCCTTAGGCTATATTTTATATACCTATGGACCATAGCTACAGGACCAAAATCATGACAGACTTAAAAAGACAAAGGTCAGGGTAGGCAGTCAGAATTCTAACTACCAAAATTCAAAAGTCAAGTAAGCAGTAAGGAATCAGAAGTAAGGGCAAAGCAAATCAGACAAGAAACAATCGGGGAGACATGGGATATTCAAGTACCAGGTGGCTTTGGATATCAGGATAAGATATCAAGACAAATACTAAAAATGAGGCATATTCTGTGTCAGCCAAGATGTGTCATACATATTTCCTGCTAAGATAAAGCTATTCCTCATCCTGCAGTATGAATCAATATTTCTCTATGAGGTGATGGGATATAATGAACCAGCCAAATAGGGAAAGTGAGCCTAGGTGTCAGTGGTAAACTTTTGTTTAATATTTTAGTTTTACTCTATGAGCATATTTTCTAAAACAAATCTTTTGGCCATATGAGGAAATAATTATATTTTTACTGTACCTCCAAGCAGTCTTAAAATTACACATTTATTGTAGGATATTTCTACCTAATAATTCTTTAGCTGAAGATATTCCTGGGCTTGATATAAGCCAGTATTCCGTTGCTGTCTAATCATCATCATCATTGTCATCATTTGTCATTTATTAAACACTTGTTACGTGTCAGATATTGTGCTAAATGCTCTGCAGGTGCTAATTTGTTTAATCTTTGCAGCAAGCTTAGGTGATGGGTACCATTGTTATCCATATTTTAACAAATGAAAAACTGAGACTCATAGAAGCAATTGGCCAAGATCACAAATCTAATCATTATGTAGCTGAGATTCAGACAATGATTCAGTCCCACTCCAGAGCACTGGCTCTTAATGATTACATTATTATGCTTACGGCTTCCTAGAATTAAAATTTATGGTTTTTCACTTGAATTTAGGTGATTCAGTAGTCCCATGAGAAAAAGTAAATAGGAAATAAAATACCAAAACTACTTTTCTACCCAATTATAAATTATTTTTAAAAAAACAGTAACAGACTGCTTCTCTTTTTTTGTTATAAATTACAAGAATGAAAATAATAAAGTCCCCTAGTACAGTCAGCATCTATTGAACAATTTTATAGCTTTGAAAGATTTCTTAAAACTTTGATTTTTCATGTAAGTGAAATGTCCAAAAATATATAAATGAAATGAAAGACTTCCATATAAGTCCCAATTTGAGATCAAGTTGACTTTCAATAAATTTAGTAAAAACATATATAAATATACAACTTGCTATATATATGTATTCATATGTATATATTAGATAGATATACAGATAGATACATAGATAAAATAGATAATGTTGGATCCAATCCAATTGAAATGCTATTCTAGGCAATAGCTCAAGACATTGTCATTTAAAGTAAATGTTTTGGTATTTTAAGATGACTTTTTTCGAAAAAGAATAGCATGAACTAAATTTTCTCCAAATACATCCACTGTAAATAAATAATGTTTCTTTTAAAATCAAACACTATGGCTCTATTTAAGCAAATATTTCCTGGAAAAGGGAGCAATTTTTTGGAGAAATTACTTATATTATTTTTGATAATTGAGAGTTTATCTAACAAAATAGAAAGTTAAAGTGGACTAAGAAAGGCCAGTTCTTACCTAATTTGAATATATATTTTTAGATTAATAGATTTGATTATTTATAATGTTATGAAGCCTTAGAAACAATTTCTTTATTTTACATTTGAAGAAAAAGGTCAGTTATTAACTAAAAAATCAATAGATACTGGGACTTCCTGAAAAAAAACAACATATCACTTGAATCTGATCTAATGTTTAAAGTATACCCTGTTGGCATTCAATTTATCTTGGCCATGATGTTTATATCTATTTAATATTTGCCATGAATTGTATTCATAGAGGATTATTTACTAGGTAACGATTCTTCAAATCATAACAAGTAGTTTATATAAGATAATCATCTTTCCAAGTCTTTGTGAAATTTGCCGGTGTGTATAACTAGAAAATTCTCCATTGCAAAATTGACTAGATAAGGATGTTTCAGCATTATGTTTGAATTGTATATAAATAAAGAAAAATTTGTTAACTGATATTTTCTTAACCTAGTAATAGCCATATTTGATGTTTATAATAAGAATACTGTTATACCACCTGGTAGTAATGATACAATAAAAATAGTGGCTACATTTATTTACATTATGCCAGATACCGCACTTCTTAGTTCTAATTTTCAAAACAACCTTGCAAAGAAAATATTATCCTTAATAAATGGCCTTTTAAAAGTTAAGTAATTTGCTCAAATTTACCAGGCTAGAAATTTTCCTTATTCCAGGTTTTCCAGACTCCAAAGTTTATCCTTTTTACATCCCAGCATGAGGACTCCTAGCAAATGATATTTTGTTGCCAAAAAATAATAATAATAATAATTGTCTTGTCCATTAGTTACATTAAATACATTAAATGTATTTTATGAGAATAAGTTTTTAAAATAAAGCATTTATAATGATTTCCAACTTACCAGAATATTTGAACACCCAAGAATACCCTGCACCCTAGATATACAGGTTAACTCTCTATTTCAATTCCAGGAAGTTTGAACTATTGTAAATAATAATGACTTTTTCTAACATTCCTAGGATTCATCAGAATTCCTGCAACTATTCAGAAAATAAACTTTCTCTTTTTTCTTAGCTTTTCTAAAAAGAGTTAGTGTTTTAATAATTAGATTTTGTATTATCTCTAGGTTTTCAGTGAAGCATAATGGATTAAAGAGAAAATTGATGGCTACTAGACTTGGTACTTATAAGTTCCAATGGCAACTTTATCATATTTTTTTGAATTTTATTAAGAAATAAATTATTCTGCTTCCTATTATTAAGCCAAATGTTTATTTACCAGATTTTACTGAAATGTTCTTCCCTGAGGCCATTGCTGTTTTGAAACTATTTTAATGGCCTTCATTGGCATGTGGTGAAAATGCTCTGACTACTTTGCTAAAAACAAAAGGTTTCATATAAATTTAATTTTTCTTTTAGGATAATTGCCATTCATTTTTGTTTTATATGCAACTAAGTGGGGTTTTGCAGTATCCTCTGTGGACAATTAAAGTGCTGAAATAGGAGAAAGCTAATAATTGCTTTGTGTGGTAATACTGACAACTTCTGCGTATTTGTCAATCTGTGTTAACAGTATCGATCAGGATGGGATCCTCATAGAGGGGCAGATAATATTTCCACTAAATCTTCGGACAGTGATGTAAGTGATATATCTGCAATTTCAAGGACTAGTAGTGCTTCTCGTTTCAGCAGCACAAGCTACATGTCTGTCCAATCAGAACGGCCAAGAGCAAACAAGAAAATCAGGTGAGTAAGGGGGCTTTAGCAGTAAACTCCTCTACATATATTTCAGAAGGTCTTTACTTTTCTTTCGATAAAGATAAAGCTATTTCTGAAAGGTTAATATATATTGTTAAGGTCATAGGAACTTCTGTACATATTACTTTTATTATATTTTGGTCCTCATTTCAGACTTCTTGCACTCAAAAATTTTTATGGAACTGATGACAATTTTGCTCACTAGATTACTTGAAATAATATTTGGCTTTTTTATGTTGCAATTTAAAACTGATACTTTTATTATTATATCTTTATTGAAGTTGAACTAACAGTTAAGTGACTAATTTTTTACAGTTCCAAGGAATATGAAAAATAATATTTTGAAGGGGACTTTTTTCTAGATGAAGACATTTCAGTGAGAAAACATAAGAAAATATTACTTTGTTAGTAGGATGCTCTTCCATCCTTTGGAAATTTTTATAAATGCATGGAAAAAGTCCTCAACTTCTCAAGAAAATTTATAAATGTGGTACATAAGTTAGTATAATTTGCATTTCTTACTTGTCCTGTATATTTTACAGATGCCTGAGATGAATTGTTTTTTATACTTCTGTTGGATTAAAAATTCTATAGTGGAAAGGCCAAAGCTTTTGCCTTTTTTTCATGTAATTTTATAAGAGGAAAATATGATTTAAAAACTATTATGATTAAGTGTTGCTTACACAGTACTGCTCTGGTATACACTGAAAAAAGTTTTCATTGTTTAAAAGATATGATTTTTACTTATGTTTTGATAGTTTTCATTACCTTTCTGTTTAATTTTGTGTGCATTTTTTCTTGACTTTTTTTCTTTGTGTGTTTATTTGCATGCTTTCCATTTGTGTTGCTTTCAAAAGGCCAAAGGGACTAGAAGAGGGAGGGAAAGAAGGGGATAAGCATGAAGAGATAGTTCATGAGAAAGAAGAGGTAAAGGAAGAAAGAATTAATGAGAATGAGAAAGGGAAAGAGATTACAAAAACGTGTAATAAGGAGAAAAACAGAGAATCAGGAGACGAGGAAAAAGCACAAGATATACCTCAGCAAGGGAAAGAAAAAGAACAGTTGAATAAAGAGGATTTGCAAAGGAGATTCTTGCAAGATGATGCCAGGTAAAATATGTGTATTTTTGTAGACATTTCCCATTAGTAATGTAGTCTGTTCTACTATTCCTAAAAATTATTTTCCGATTTATATTTGTTTTCTTTTCTTGTGTTTTATCTACTTAGCTTCTAATACAGCTAATTAATATGTTGGCAAACTATTATCAAATAGATTGATTAAACAGTCTTTAATTTACATCCACTAGCTTTGAGAGTCTGATTTGTTTTTCAAATTCTTTATGACTAGCCAGATAAATTTTAAATTTTTCTTTAGCTCTTTTAGCATGAAGTCTGTCTTCCCCAGCTGTAGAGTCTAAAGATGAGTGAAAAGAGAAACTTGCAAGTTCTTTACCAATAGTAAAGACTGCTTCAAGGGAAAAGAGAGCAAAACATTTAAAATGGGGTTCTGAAGGGGCTAAAAAATTAGCATACTTTATAGGAAGTATTATGTACTGGAAATGAACTTCAAAAATGAGTGACAAAATAGCTATCAGAAAGTGAGCTTTATTCAGTCTGTGGTCCCCTTGCCTCTTCATAGTCTTCTGGAAGGTTCTAGTGCAGTTTGACTCCTGGGAAAGATTACATACAAAGCAGGGGCAGTGTTCTTTGATACTCTGAAAAGAAAGGGTAGATACCTTGGAGCTTATTAGAAGGCAAACATGTTGAGTTATGCCCTTCTTGATATTCATTCAGTTTGAGAAACTTCTGGAAAAGGAACTCTGAACAGAGGTGAAAGACAGGAAAAAAGCACAAGCAGGGGCTGGCCGGTGGCGCACTGCTACAGTGCGCCGCTTGGGAGTGTGGCAGCGCTCCCACCGAGGGTTCGGATCCCACATACAGACCAGTTCCCGCTCACTGGCTGAGCGAGGTGTGGGCGCAGCGCCGAGGGTTGCGATCCGTTGCCAGACATGAAAAAAGACAAAAAGGAAAAAAAAAAAGCACAAGCAGTAAGGCATAAAAACAGCTACATTTTTATTTTCAGAACACAAACCACCAAGCAAATGTGAAGCTATCTTTATGGTACTCTGTGTCCTACATACAGTCAAATCAGCCAGCACAAGTATGCAGTAAGACTTTATCCTTCTGCTTGAGATGAGGTTACTCTAATTACATTTATTTGAGACTGAAAATAGCAAATCATGTGTATTTGGGAGGAACTGGGGTTTCCAGTAGTCAAGAATTTGATTTTGTATTAATTCAAAGTCTGCTTGATAAGCACACCCTATTTATAAGCCAAATTTTGCGTTATTATAGCTAAACCCAGCCTCAGTGTATGCTTTTCTCATAATAATGCAAAAAATCATTTGGGCAAATGTTTACCCATTGGATATACAATTCAGTGGCTTAGCCTATTACATTTCACTTTTTGTCTCATGTATATTTAACTACATCTGTGCTCTATGAAAGTTTCTGTATATAGGCATTAATCAAAATGAATCTTAAATAAGGCATATTTTGTGATTTCAGTGTAAACTAGTAATTTTAAGTCTGTTTTCATTATTTATCCAACTTTTGATAATTACATTGATTAATAAAGACAACTGTTTTTTCTAATTTGTTGGGCATAGGATCATTCATCACTAACAGAGAAAAGTTTTCTAAAGTGTCCTTGGAAAGAGACATAGAGTTTTCTTTCTTCCAAAAGCAAAGCAAGTGTGAGTCTCTAATGTGTTTTCTTTTGTATATGCTGTATAGATGAGAACACATGAGCCCACTGGTGTTTGCCTGGAGCCAAAATCCCATACTGGTATACCTGGTTTGATGGGGAGATGTTTGGACAAGATTATAACCCTAAGTTTCCAATTTTCTAATATTACTTTCTTCATCATTTTCTTTAGGAAAAGAGCACGTTTATTTTACAGAGAAAAGGGAAAAATAGTATATTCCTAGCAAGATGATTCATCAAGGCACTTTACTCAGCTTAAGTAACTGTATGATATTTCTAGAACTGTAAACTAGAGGGGGACAGGCTGATCTCTCTAGGGAACATGTATTTGAAAAGACAGCAAGAAGTATCAACTGCAATTGTTTATAAGAAAATTTTGATGTCACTTATTAATTATTTAACATTGGATCTTGATTTTGCTTTCATTTGTTAGAATAAATCTAACAATGTTTATTCTTTTTTTTTTTGTCTTTTTCCATGTCCGGCAATGGATCGCAACCCTCAGTGTTGCCCCCGTACCAGACCGGGGACCGGCAACGGGATCGCAACCCTCGGTGTTGCTCCCGCGCCTCGCTCAGCCAGTGAGCGGGAACCGGTCTGTATGTGGGATCCGAACCCTCGGGCGGGAGCGCCGCCGCGCTTCCCAAGCGGCGCACTATCCAGTGCGCCACTGGGCCGGCCCCTAACAATGTTTATTCTGAGGGAAAATATGTCTGAGTATTTTCAACATCATTTTGTTTTGGTAGTTGATAAACAATCATAGGTTATTTAAACACTGAAAACAACTTATGTGCATATACAACATTATTGGAAATAACCTTATTCTGTAACACACCACTGACATTTCTGCCTTTCACTTGGCATCCAAGTTGTACACAAGAAAAAAAAAATTCTGACTTCAGAGTTTAAGTGTTTATAGCAGTGTTAGCTCTTAAATTAACAAAGTGACTACAATGAACAAAATCCACTATAATTTCTAGTTTGATTGCAGCTAATTAGATCTCATTGCATGATTATGTTGTTCGTGTTGAAGTAAGTCACATTAAAGTCAGTCTACTGAATATACAAGTGGAAAATGAATAGCAAAATAGTAAATTATAAAATAATTTTAAATTCATTTAAAATGTTAAATGTTTGTATTTTTTTCTAAGTTGATTAATGAGTAAAACATTCATACCTTGCTATTTATATTTGCATACAAATATGTAGGTCTGGTAAATTTTTGCTATATTATTAATGATTATATATGGTAAACAAGAAAATTCAAAATTATATTTTCCATTTAAAAGATTTTTTCTCTGTGTATGTGTGTGTTTTAAATTTTATATCTGTTTACATTCGCTGATTATATACTGTATATGAGGGGTCTTCAAAAAGTTCATGGAAGGATTCATATTAGCTTTTAATTCTATTTTTCCACAAACTTTTTGAAGTATTCTCATATATACAGTAAGTTCGCATAGAAAAAAAGCATTGAGAGATAAGGAGAAATCATTCATTCAACCAATATCTATTTAGAAAATTTCTCAGGCATTGCACAATGAACGAGATAGAAATGAAATTAAATATTTCAAAACTTTTAAGCCTGAGTGTGAAGCAGTTTCTTAGCCGTGTGTGGATGGATGTTTAAGAATAGCTCCATATCCAAAAAAATGTCATCAAGATACCTGAATAAATTCACAAGTATATTCGATAAAAGACTTGGTGCAGGAAGAGGCAATCTTAAGTAAATTTGCAATGAAGACAGAAAAAGACAAATATTCAAAAGTATAGTCTTGTCAAAACCAACATTATTGGTAGCTTTGTGTTCAAATTAAACCCTGTCCATTCTTCCAAGTTCTATTCTGTGGATATAAGACAAAAGTTTTTTAAAAATCAAGAAATTCTTTTTCTATAAACTTTTAGTTTTCAGGCCTGTATATAAATGCTACGGAATTATAATTTCTCTTTTTAAAGAGAATTACTCTTTGAGATAGAGAAATTTTTTGTAGGACAGAGATGGCATCAATTCATATTTTCATGAATAGCTATTTTTAGAAGACTTAAGCCATTTAAATTATCTTGCAAAAACTTCTTATAGTCTTTAGAAGGGCTTGAATTCAGTATTTTAATGAAATATTTATTCTGCCTGGGCTTCTTTTTAGTGTGTCAGATAGAGGAATGGATGATTCAATGATTTGCACTCTTTTCCATAGCTAAGATTAACATAGTACACAGCAAGCAGGAAAGTGAGCATCATCTATCATACTTATGATTTTGACTTTACTATCATGAGCTTAAGAGATAATTGGTTCTGTGGCTGTCCACTGATAAAACAAACAACTCAACCTAAGTTTCTGTCATTTGGCAGGTATTTACAAAATTTATGCAGCCAGTATTTAAGATTTCATTGATCACTAATCAAGTTCAGTTTTTTTGGTTTTTGGGAAGCACGTTTCAGTGCTAACTCATCACAGAGGGCATGATGGACTTTACTTTTCCACTGAGTATTAGCAATATCTTATGTTTTATTTCTGAGGCCATCTTCTAGTTAGTATCACTGAGAATCTTGCAAGCCCAAATAACTTCTACTCTGTTTTATGAATGTGCATAATACTCAACTGGAAACTTTTAAAAGATACTTGAACATCACTTCAGGAATTGTGATTCTGTAAGTCTTGTTTGGGGCCCAAGAATTTGCATTTTTAAAATAAACACCCCAGGTTATTATGATGTAGGTAGTTTATAGATGCTATCCATCCTCTCTTTTGGGTTGCTTGTATTTCCTAATGAATTTTAAGGTCAGCTTGTCAATTTTTGGAAAAACAAAAAGGCAGCTGAGATTTTGATAGGGTTTGTGTTCAATTAGATCAATTTGAGGATTATTGCCACTTGAAGAATATTAAGTCTTTCTATCCATGAATACAAGACATTGTTTCATATATATATATTTTATTTTCTTGTGATTATATTCTGTAGTTTTGTGACCATATCTTGTACTTCTTCTGTTAAATTTATTCTAAGTATTTTATTTTTTGATGATAATGTAAATGCAATAATTTTATTAATTTTCTTTTTGGATTTTTTATTGCTAGTGTATAGAAATACAGTTAATTTTTGTATATTGGTCTTGTATGTTACAACCTTGCTGTACTCATCTGTTAGCTCTAATAGTTTTTTGTTGATTTCTTAGTATTTTCCATATAGTTCATGTCATCTGTGATTAAAGATTTACTTTCTCCATTCCAATCTGATTGCTTTTTATTTCTTTTTCTTGCCTAATTGACTCCACTACAATGTTGAGTGGAAGTGGCTAATGGAAAATTCTTAAATGAAACAGCCATATAGAATTACTTTTGCATTGGCTG